TCTGCGGTGTGTGACGGTGTTGTTAGCTTGTCAGGGCTTGGTCCGCTAAAATGTTAGACGTGGTCCGTGTTGTTTGCTACGCTTCCAGGTGTTTCATGCACTGGCTTTTCAGCACGCGTATGCAGTTTCGCGGGGGAAGGTATACCTTCCCCGGGGGAAGGTATACCTGCCCATTACGTAATGGGCAGCGGGGTACACCGACTGGCATGTGGTGCCTGGTATCATGGTGTGCAGTTCGGCAGTTTGCCAATCGCTGTGTTCTTTGGAGCGTTTAGGGGCTTGCTACTTGCTATGTAGGCGCTATGTAGGTAGGTGGCCTGGGGCTGCTGACGTGCACGTCAGCATGTGCTGAGTAGCTGGCTGCAATTTGGTTGGTGCTGCTCATCTGCAACAAACACCAATCAGGGCGTGGTTCGTTGCTAGAGTCCTCATCTGCCATTGCCACCAAGTGGCGGTAGCAGTGCAGTTGCATTGGGGATTCGGAGGGCAGACTAGCGTTGATTAATGCTCGTTTCCATGGGCGTGCGGTGTCTTGCAGGCGGTGGTGTCCCGTGGGTCCCTTGCCCCGTGTGCCCACTGAGCACCTTTCGCTGTGCACACTCAACGCAGCGCAAAATTATTGAATGATCGTTAATATGCAGCAAATGGGGATTCTAATTCCTAAGTTTCAGCGACCCTTCCACCTGAAAGCAGCCGAGACCTTAGCTGAGATTTCTAAACTTCTCAACTAAACCTAATTAGTTTCTAATTAGGTTTAGTAGCTGAGATTTCTAAACTTCTCAACTAAACCTAATTAGTTTCTAATTAGGTTTAGTTGAGATAAAATTTCTATCTAAGGAAATTAACAACCCTATTCAGGAGGGTACTCTCCGGTGGCAGGGTGGTACAGGAGGGTACCCTCCGGTGGCAAGGTGGTACATGTACAGGAGGATACTCTCCGGTGGCAGGGTGGTACAAGAGGGTACTATCTGGTGGCAGGGTGGTACAGGAGGGTACTCTCCGGTGGCAGGGTGGTACAGGAGGGTACTCTCCGGTGGCAGGGTGGTACAGGAGGGTACTCTCGGGTGGCAAGGTGGTACAGGAGGGTATCCTCTGGTGGCAAGCTTAAGGTGGTACATGTACAGGAGGGTATCCTCCGGTGGCAAGGTGGTACATGTACAGGAGGGTATCCTCCGGTGGCAAGGTGGTACATGTACAGGAGGGTATCCTCCGGTGGCAAGGTGGTACATGTACAGGAGGGTATCCTCCGGTGGCAAGGTGGTACATGTACAGGAGGGTATCCTCCGGTGGCAAGGTGGTACAGGAGGGTATCCTCTGGTGGCAAGCAAGGTGGTACATGTACAGGAGGGTATCCTCCGGTGGCAAGGTGGTACATGTACAGGAGGGTATCCTCCGGTGGCAAGGTGGTACATGTACAGGAGGGTATCCTCCGGTGGCAAGGTGGTACATGTACAGGAGGGTATCCTCCGGTGGCAAGGTGGTACATGTACAGGAGGGTATCCTCCAGTGCCACCCGTTTGACACCGAAGGTTCTCCCCAAAGGGGAGGAAGCTTATCCCTTACGGTGTACCTCCCATGTCCCTTGGGTGTCCCTTCCACGTGTCCTTTGGTGTCCTTTGGTGTCTCTTACATGTCCCTTTGGTGTCTCTTCCCTGTCTTTTGGGAGTCCCTTGGGAGTCCCTTGGGTGTCCCTTCCATGTGTCCTTTGGTGTCCCTTCGGTGTCTCTTCCATGTCCCTTCGGTACACGTGTCTCTTCCCTGTCTTTCGGGTGTCCCTTGGGTGTCCCTTGGGTGTCCCTTGGGTGTCTCTTCCATGTCCCTTGGGTGTCCCTTCCACGTGTCCCTTCCACGTGTCCCTTTGGTGCCCTTGGGTATCCCTCCCGTGCCCCTTGGGTATCCCTCCCGTGCCCCTTGGGTGTCCCTTGGGTGCCCCTTGGGCATTCCTTGGGTGTCCCTTTGGTGTCCCTTGCAAGGGACACCCAATTGGGTGTCCCTTCCATGTCCCTTTGGTGTCTCTTCCATGTCCTTTTGGTGTCGCTTCCCTGTCTTTTGGGTGTCCCTTGGGTGTCCCTTGGGTGTCCCTTGAGTGCCGGAGACCGAATTTACCAAAACCTTCATTGACAGCTGCACCTGGCTAATTATTAACCACCAAGCGTCCCCTTGGTGGCAGAATACTGAGTCAGGATGCAGTGGAGGGTCGAGCACAGGATACGGATAGGAAGGAGAAGGATAGAAATGTGGACCCAGGAAGAGTCAACACCAACCCACCAAGGATGAGGATGGCAGAGGATGAGGGGATGCAGTCAGCAGGGTGTGGGATGTTAGCAAGCATTGGCTTGAGGATATGGAAAGGGGGTGTAGGATGTATCCAA